CTTTCAGCTGTAACAAATGACCACAAACAGTGTCTTAAAACAGCACAAATGTATCATCTTACAGTTACGGAGATAAAAAATACGGCACGCGTCTCAGCGGGCTAAGACCAAGGTGTCGAGAGCTGTGCTCCTGGAAGGTCTAGGGGAGAATCCGTTTTCTTGCCTCTTCCAGCTCCCAGAGGCTCCTTGGCACATGGCCCCCCCACCTGCATCCTCAGAGCCAGCAGAGGCCGGGCAGCTCTTTCTGACATCACATCACTCTGACACTGGCTCTCTTACCTCCCTCTGTCACTGACCTACCAGATGACCCGGAAGAATCTCCCCGCTCAAGGTCAGCTGATTAGAATTAGTCCCTTATTCTCCCTTGCCATGTTACTTAATATGTTCACGAGTTGCAGGCATTTGAATATGAATATATTTAGGGGACCATTATTCTGCCTGCACAGGCCACCATCTGGAATTGGCTGGTGCATTCTCATGGTGCCATTTTAGCATGTTCCTCTGTCCTCTGTATTTTCTGCAAATTACAGTTGAATTTAGAGACAATTGACTCAGGGTTGATTTATTTTTGGCAAGACCATGTCACACATGGTGCTGTGAATGCGCAAGTTTTAAAGAATGAGCTTCTTTCATAGGACAAGCCACCGCTCACACATACTAAATAGACTGATAATCAGCAGCTGTTGCTAATCAGTTCCCCCTATGCAACTAACAATTTGACAGGGTGTCAGAAAATGGACTGGGAGAAATTTTCGAAGGAAGACAACATTGGGAAATCAGAGCTATATATTTCTTTTATCCTTTGTGCAAAGAAAATAGTCTTTTATGTTCCAACTTTTGGGCAAAAAATAAGCAAGAAACGAAGTTTTAAAAAAAAGTTTGGTATAGTTCAGAGAAAAAATAATTTCCTAAACAATGCGAGAAATTTGCATACCCAGCATGCTCTGATCAAGGGTTCTAAAAAGTACATTTTATCTGTAACTTAATTTTCAGAGCACCAAAAGGCCCCCAGGTTCTCTACAAGATGCCTTTTTAAAGCCACACCCACAGGCAGGAAGATCCCCAGACTGCATTCAAAACAGAAATGATGGAAAACCGACACCACAATGAGATACCACTTCACACCTCTTTGGATGGTTACTGCCCAAAAAAAAAAATGGAAGGAAGAAAACAAGTGTTAGTAAAGATGTGGATAAATTAGAACCCTCAGACACGGGCTCTGGTGAGAATCTAAACTGATGCAGCCATTTACGAGCTTCCATTCAAAGAGGAATAGGAGGACAGCTCCTCAAGAAGTTGAACGGAACTGGCGTACGCTCCACCAATTCCACCTCTGGGGACGCATCCAAAAGAACTGAAAGTAGGCTCGGGCAGGTATGTGTACACCCATTTTCCAGCAGCATTATTCTTACAGCCACGAGGTGGAAACAACCCAAATGTTCATCACATGATGAATAAATTAGTTGCGGTATCTACATACAGTGGAATATTATGCAGCCTTAAAAAAGGAAATTCTGACACATGCTACAGCATGGATGAACTTTTGGGACATTATATCAAATGCACTAAAGCCAGACACCAGAGGATAATCATTTCATGATTCCACTCCATAGTCAAATCGTGAGGACGGAAAATAGTGGTAGTTGCCGGGGGCTGGGGGAAGGGGAAGGGGAAATCAGCATTTAAGGGGTATGGAGGTTTCTGTTTGCCATCAGGGAAGTCCAGGAGTGGACTCATCCCACCGATGGGGGCTCCACCTCAGGAGCCGATTGCCTCTCAAAGTCCCCACCTCCTAATACCATCGCTTCAGGGGGCAAGTTTCAACTAATGAATTTAAGAAGGGATGCAAACATTCAGTCTATAACAGAAGGAAAGACAGCCAATAAAAGCTATGTGGGGTGCAACAGCTTAATGAATATGGGTTTCCTTTGAGGGTGATGATGATGTTTTGGAATTAGAAAGAGTTGGTGGCTGGACAACATTATGAATACACTAAACACCACTGACTTGTTCACTTTAAAATGGTTCATTTACATTACGTGCATCTTGCCTCACTTTTTTAAAAAATGCATTATCACACCAATCAGTACTGTGAACAACTGGAGCTTAATCTCTCTGGGGAAACTCAGGGTGCATCAAACACACACTTCAGAGTTAGTTCACCGAGGCAGCCCACTGGTGACAGTGAAGACATAAGCACGGGGTCATAGGGCAGGTGCCAACAGTGTCACCTGCATCAAAGTCCACCACACTGCTGCCATCCCCATTCCACATCTGTTTGACTGCTGCACTACATTTCATTATTTGAAAATACCTTGCTGTCTTTCATCCCCTCAATCACCAAGGGGCATTTAGTTTGTTTCCAGCTGTTCTTGTAAACAGTGGCCCTGAGAACATTTTTTGTTTCTCTTGGGTGTATATCCAAGTGACAGATTACTAGATCAGAGGGTATATAAATTTTCAACATGAGGCTCTAACACTAAACTGTTTTTCCAAAGTAGATACACCAATTTGCATTCCCTGTGCACTCCATATCCTTTTTACCTCTTGGCTTATCAGATTTTTTTTTTTTTTGCCAAAAAAAAATGAGTGGAAAATAATATCTCATTACTGTCTTGATTTGCCTCATCATTAATGATGTTGAACATCTCATCATAAGTTTATCACCATAAATATTCCCTCATTAGAAGTGCTTGTTCATGTACTTTGCCCATTTTTCTACTGGTTTTTGAGCTATACTGATTGGTTTCTAGAAATTATTTACATATGCTTGATAATACTCTCCTTTGTTAGTTGTGTGCATTATATTTTCTCCCAGTTTGTAATGTGTCTTTCACCTTTTTAAGTGTCTATTGATGAGCAAAATTTTTCTTTTTAACAGTCAAATTTATCAGTCCTTCTTAGGCATTAAAAAACGAAAAACTAAGATGAGCCAAAGCAACCTTGAGAAAGAAGAACAAATCTGGGGATAACACACTCCCTGATTTCAAACTACACTACAAAGCTACAGTGATCAAATCAGTATGGTACTGCACAAAAATAGAAATATAGACCAATGGAAAAGAACAGAGCCCAAAAATAAACCTCTGCTAATATGGTCAATAAATATATAGCAAAGGAGGCGAGAATATACAATGGGGAAAAGACAGTCTCTTCAGTAAATGTACCTGGGAAAACTGGACAGCTGCATGCAAAGAATGAAACTGGATCACTGTCTTAACTCCATACACAAAAATAAACTCAAAGTAGATTAAAGAACTAAATGTAAGACATGAAACCATAAAACTCTTAGAAGAAAACATAGGCAGTAAACTCTTAGACAGTGGCCTTAGAAATTTTTTCTGGATTCATCTCTCCAAGTCAAGGGAAATAAACACAAAAATGAACAGGTGGAATTACACCAAACTAAAAAGCTTCTGGGCAGAAAAGGAAACCACCAATAAAACAAAAAGGCAGCCTACTGAATGGAATAAGATATTTGCAAATGATATATCCAAAGTATATAAAGAACTCACACAACTCAACACCAAAAAATCAAATAATGTGATTTAAAAATGGGCAGAAGAGCTGAATAGACATTTTTCTAAAGAATATATACAGATGGCCCACAGACACAAGAAAAGATACTCCACATCCCTAATCACCAGGAACATGCAAATCAAAACCTCAATGAGATACCACCTCAAACCAGTTAGGATGGCCAGTATCTAAAAGACAAGAGATAACGACTGTTGGTGAGAATATGGGGAAATGGGAACGCTCCTGCACTATTAGTGGGGGTGTAAACTGGTGCAGCCACTACGGAAAGCAGTATGGAAGTTCCTCAAAAAACTAAAAACAGAAATACCATATGACCCAGCAATTTCACTTCTGGGAAGTTACCCAAAGAAAACAGAATTCAAAAAGGGTATGCACTCCTATGTTAATCACGGCATTATTTACAATAGCCAAAATATGAAAGCAACCTAAACGTCCATCAATAGATGAATTGATAATGAGGCTGTGGTACATAAACACAATGGAATACCACTCAGCCATAAAAAAGAATGAAATTTTGCCATTTGCAACAACATGGAGAGACCTGCAAAGTACTATGCTAGGTAAAGTAAGACAGAGAAAGTCAAAACATCATATGATTTCACTTAATTATGGAACCGAAAAACAAAACAAACAAAACAGAAATAGACTCATAAACATAGAGAACAGACTGGTGATTACCACAGGGGAGAGGGCTAGGGGGATAGATGAAAGAGGGGAAGGGGGAAAAATTAATGAGAATGCTTGATATCTCGAACTGGATGATAATTATATGAGTGTACACACAGGTCAAAATTCATCAAGCTATGCACTAAGATTTGTACACTTTATTGTAATGTACCTCAGTAAGAAATAAATAATAAATAATAAATTATCTGACAATAAGGAACTAATGGAATATAGCATGGTATGTCCATGCAATGGCACACTGTATAACTATTAAAAATTATTTCATTTTGAAAAATATTTCTTGAAACAAAGATGTTTGCAATTTAATGTTAAGTCAAAAATCAGATAAAAATAAAAATAATATCACAAAACTGTGTATATCAAGATCTCACAATATGACCTTTTTTAAAGTTTGATAATATACTATATTGGCAAGCTTGTGGAGAAATAAGTTTTCATTACTGGTAGATGGTATAAACAGGCACAATCTCTAGGAAATGCCATTTAGCAATGTCTACTCAAAATTGAAATGTACATACACAGTAGTCTCCTCTTATCCACAGGGGATACGTTCCAAAACCCCCAGTGGATGCCTGAAAACACAGATAACGTCGAACCCTATATATACTAGTTCCTTTTCTACATGATAAAATGTAATTGATAAATTAGACACAGTAAGAGGTTAAGTACAATAACCAATAATAAAATAGAACAATTACAACCATGTACTCTAGTAAAAGTTAAGTGAATGTGATCTCTCTTAAAATAACATATTGTACTATACTCACGCTTCTTGTAATGGCATGAGATGATAAAATACCTATGTGAAGAGATGAAGCGAGCATGACACAGGCAGTGTGACATGGAGTTAGGCTGCCATTGACCTTCTGCTGATTCGTCAGAAGGAGGATCATGGGCTTTCTGATGCTACTGACCACAGGACCCTGGAAAGTGAAATCACAGAAAGCAAAACCATGAGTGGACGAGAAGGAAAATGGAACGAACAAGCCTTCAATTTGACCCAGCAAGTCCTCTTCTAGATATTTACCCAAACAATAGACATACATACAATTGAGGCACTGGTTACCTGCAAAAGATAAAAATATGAAACAGCCATAGCTAGAATACTACTAAGTAACTCTAAAAAAAAAGGACATGTTAGTCTAAGCATATTATAAAGGAGTCATCTCCAGGGCATATTGTTAAATAAACTCAGCAAAAGGGTATTGTAGGATATCATTTGCATTACAAATATTTAGAGCTACACAAATTTTTTGCATGCATTGTTTGCATAGACTCTCTCTGGAAGGGAGCAAAAGAAAAAGGTAATTTGATTGCTTCCAAGGAGGGAAACTGGGTTGCTGTGGGGCAACTTCAAAACTTTCTAGGTAGTAAATACTATTGTTATATCCACAAGAGATGAGAAAACTGTCAGCAGAGCACCCCTGAAGCCTCAGTACGGCAAGAAGAATAAAATGAAATAATCTCTATTAATTCACTCCAAGCTTCCTGACCATTTTCTCTGCTCCAGGCTCTTTGGGACAATAATAACACCTGCAGCATGGAGTTCTTCAGTGACTAAATGAGAACTAATAAACAAGAATTTGCTCCCCACGGGTGCTCAATAAATAGGAGTTTTAATAACAATATTTGTTAGTAGTATAATTTATTGTGCAGCTAACCTCATTTGTTTTTGCCAACAGCCTGGTGCATTAAATAAGGATGACTTTTATCATACTCATTGTAGGGAAAGTTGAGGCTCAGAAAGGTTAAGTCTAGAGGGGCTCCTCACCGACCTGGGAGAGCACAGAGAAGGCTTCCTGGAGGTGGTGGTGCCTGACCACAGGCTCTGCCACTGTGATGAATGCTGGCTCTGCCCCTCACTCACTGTGGGACCCTGTGCACATTACTTAAGCTCTCTGAGCCTCCATTTTTGCACCTATAAAATGGGAAGAAGAAAAGTGCTGCTTCCTAGAATTATGAAGGTGAGATGAGTTAGTACGTGTTAATTACTGCAACCAGGGATCTTCTTAAAAACACAAATCAGATCATGTCAGTCTTCTGCTCAAACCTTTCGGTTGGCTCGCTGCCCACTCGGAATAAGAGCCAAGATCCTTACAGGGAGGGGCCCAGGAGGCCTGAGAGTCCTCAATGCACAGCCCCCTCCCTCCCTGTTCTCATCCTCTGTCCCCTCCTCTTCCTCTTCTGGCTACGCTTGCATCACACCCCAAGCTCTGCCTGCCTGCAGGCCTCTGGCCCCTTGGCTTCCTCGGCCAGAAATGCTCTTCCAGTAGATATCCGTGCGGATTCCCCGGCCTTTTCACAACATGGACAGGTGCCTCTCACCAAGCCCTTGGGCCCACCCACCTCCTCACCTGACCGGTTCTCACTAGCTCTTGTCACCACCACGTACCTGTTCCTTGGTGTCCTCACTGTCCACCCTTAGGTGTAAGTCTGATGGGTGCAGGCCCGTGCTCCACTCTGTCTGGTGCTGCATCCCCAACTCTCAGAACACGGCCTTGCACCCCTCAGGCCCTCGGTAAATAACTCTCCCAAGCGGCAGGAGGGAAGGGTGTTTCAGGCGCTGGGCACAGCCTGAGCAGAGGCACTGGGGAGGGGCACGGAGCAAGTCCCAGCAAGGAACCACCGCTGACGCCTCCGGCCTGGCCCCACCACCTCCCTTACGGGAATGGCCTCTGCTTACCACCCAAAAGTGCGGGGCAGGTGCATCAATTCCTTGGAAGCACAGCTGAAATGCTTTGGCTGACATACCATCTGAACCCTGTTCTCTGCCCCCTTGTCCTTTCCTAGGACCCCTGCTGCCTTAGTCTCCAGGCCTCAAGGCTGGGGGATAGCCAGGCTGGGGGCTCCCCCTCATCCTCAGGGCACTGGGAGGGCCTGTGTCTGACAGAATGAGGGAAGCTTTGGGGGGTCCTCCCCACTGGAAAGCTGCCTTGTGGAGCATTGACAGCACACAGCGAATACACAGAAGGAAAACTGGGAAGCCTGCATCTCCTCTACCCCTTTAAGACAGACACCTGGGAACTCGGATGGGGGCTGCAGCGGGAAGCCAAACACACACACAGTCATTTATTACGGTGCTGTCTCCACAGCCGGAAATCAGTGTGGGGCGGGGGCTTCTCCCGGAGAGACACCAGCCATCTTCGAAAAGACGGGGGGAAACCTGACTCGAAACACCTGTGTACAGATGGGACCTGTAAAAACCCAGGCGCTCGCCCTGGTTCTAAAGCTCACAGGGAAAGGAATAGCAATGAACAGCTTCCGAGAACTTGCAGGGCAGAAAGACAGGCCCTCCCCAGGCCACCATGCTGGCTGCCCAGCCTGAGCTCCCCCTGGACCTGTGCCAGCCTGGCTTTCTCTGAATGTCTGGGGCTAAGATGGTAGCCCAGTGGCATGTTTTATTTCTGCAAAGAGAAGTTATCTTTCAAGTGGAGCCGAGACGAGATCTGAACAGGGATTTCCCGGTCCCAGCTCTGGGCAGCACATCCTTCCAAGACTTGGGCTGGCACAGGCACCACTGTTCTCCTTTCCCGGAAGTTTCATGCTCTCTCTTTCCATGGAGGCTGTGCAGAATTTTCTCACTTTGCCTGGAACGTTCTCTCCCCCATACCCTACCACCACCACCATCGCCACTCCCGGATCCGGGTAACTCCTCATCCTTTATACGTTGGACCGTCAGGGTGGTCTTCTCTAGTCACCCTGCAAGCTCAGATGCTGTACTAGGGGCTCTCCTGTCCCCAGCCCTCCCCAAGTTGCATGTTCCGGTGCTTATCACAGCCGACATTCACAGCGTATATAGGTGTGGCTGTCTATCGCCATTCTCCACTGCTCCTGACATGCTCACCAGGATAGTCACAGTGCATGACACCTAGTAGGCCCTCAATTAATTATTCAATGAATGACTAAATGTGATACACCTCAGGTTCCCAGGCAATTGTCCAAATGCTTAAATATATGCATGAATGAGTGAATCAAGGAATGGGCAATTGAATGAATGAATGGGTAAGAGAATGAGCAAATGAGTAAGCCAAGAGTCAGAATGAGTGAAGGCGGCCCCCTCGGGGCTCACGTATCCATTCATACCTGTTTTCTGCCTCTCCTTTTCTCTGTATGCAGTCAGAGAAGAAAGTAGGAGGAGTTGGTATGCATATAACTCGAACCAAACACATGGTAAGAGGAGGGCATTTCCCTAGATACCCAGTGCAAGGGGGCTTCCAGGCAGAAGCTGACCCTCAAGGGGCATCTCTGTTGGTGACCCCTTTCACCTTCCCTTTTTCTGATCTTTATGGGGCCGTCTGCCTCTTAGCATCAAAGGAGACAGCAGGGCCATGATTTGTCCCCACAACAGCTCTATAAAAATGTAATTACCCAATAACCCGCTGTCTGCAAAACAAACCATCTTCCTGTTTCTTCTCCCATAAAAAGAATTTGACAGCCCTGTTCTCTCAGCTTATAAAACCTGGAGAGAGTTGACTTAGTCCTCTCTGGAATGAACACCCTCAAGGGGGGAGCACCCAAAGTGGGGAGCAGCATGCTTCTGATCTCCCAGGCAGTCTGCCGCGAAGTCTCTGGAGGGTTCTGGACGAGGCAGAGGAAGCAAGTCATCTCATTCCCACGCGGGACTGGACAATACAAGTCACACTTAGCAAGGGCAGGGGGCTTGGAAATGCTGAGACCCAGGCCAGCCGCAGCCACAGGCAGCAACTTCATGGCTCCCTAGGAGGTCACTCCTTCACTTAGTCACTCAACAAACATGGATCTGGCACCTCCCATGTGCCAGGCATTAGGCTAGGTCCTGAGGGTTCAAGGCCAGTACAGCATGTGCCCATCCTCGAAGAAATTCACCTCCATAATATACATTTATGTCAAATGATGATGGAGCACCTTCATCGGCATTTGTTGACATGCAAAAGGGGTGATGATCCATCGTCACATGCATGAGACAGGTTACAAAGCAGTACATGGGCCTTATGGCTCCATTTTTATTTTTCTTAATTGAAAGAAAAAAACTAACAGAATGTGAAGGAGGGGTGAAGCAGTTATTCTCTATCATGATTACGCAGCTATGTTGTGGGTTGAATTGTATCCCCCAAAAGAAAACGTCCAAGCCCTAATCCACAGTGCCTGTGATTATGACCTTATATGGAAAGAGGATCTTTGCAGATGTAATTAAGGCAAGCATCAAGAGAAGACCATTCCGGGTCAGGGTAGGTCCTAAACCCAACGAGGGTGTCCTTGTAAGGGAGATTAGATACACACAGATGAGGGGCCATGTAAGGACAGACGCAGACTGGAGGGGTGCAGCCAGAAGCCAGGGATGATGCCCAGAGCTGGGACAGGCAGGGAAGTATCCTCCCCTGGAGCTTTTAGAGGGAGCGTGTCCCTGCCAACACCTTGATTTCAGACTTCAGCCTCCAAAACTGTGAGAGAACAAATTTCTGTTGTTAAGCCATCAGGTTTGTGGTGATTTGTTACAGCAGTCCCAGGAAACGTATACAGGGTGGCTATCAAACTATATGCACTTGTTATAGAACTGTTCACCAAAATGAGTCAATTCTACTGTATTTAAATTATACTTTGATGTTAAAGGTATTTTAAAAACAGGGAGATAAGGACTTCAATAGACATTTCTCCAAAAAGATATACACGTGGCTAATAAAGACAGGAAAAAGCTGTTCACCATCATTTGTCCTCAGGGAGAGGCAAATCAAAACAATGAGCTACCACTTCTACTCACTAGGACGGCCATTATCAGAAACAAAACAAAGCAAAACAAAATGTCAAATGTTGGTAAGGATGCAGGGAAATAGGAACCCTCAGGCATTACCAGTGGGAATGAAAAATGGAGCAGCCACTGTGGAAAACAGTTGGGCAGCTCCTCAGAGAGTAAAATACAGAATCAGCATATGATGCCACAAGTTCA